GGCGAGGATTGGCAAAGCAAGGGCCGCATTCCTACAATTCAGGAACATATGGAACTCAAAACAACTGTCAGCCGACATTGGAGTCAGAATCTTCAATACGAACGTCAAGACAGTTCTATCGTATGGAGCTGAAACTTGGAGAACTACCACAACCATCATAAAAAATTACAGGTATTTATAAACAATTGTCTACTCAAGATACTCAATGTCTCCTGGCCGGATATCATCAGCAACAGCCTACTGTGAGAGAGAACAAACCAGCTTTCATCTGAGGAGGAGATTAGGGAAAGAAACTAGGGATAGATAAACACACTAGGAAAATTATTACACTCCATAGCAAGGTGATCCCTAACGTGGATTCTTCAAGGAAAAAGGAAGAGAGGCAAACGAAAGAATACTCGGTGAGGGGACGTGGAGGCAGATATTAGAGACTAGAAAGAGGATCTCAGGACAAAGTTCGTTGAAGAATCCTGGTCGGTGGTCTGAGCCCCAGTAGGGACGACAGGATTAAGTTCGAAAGTAAGCCGTAGCAATTCTAATATTTCAAAAAGCGGTATTAACACAATAGCAATAATAGTAGCTATAGACAACTATGTGATACCAGTGAAACCCATTTTTACAGTGCATGTTACTTCGGCATATTCATATATATTTATACGGCATTTACATACATATCTAACTAAGTATCCTAATCTGGTTATTGACACATTTAGAAAACGGAGACTTGAATAATTATTTAAGTCTGGGTGACAGTTAGATAAAAGTTATTTTTGAGGAAATAGTGTAAGTTAGATAAGAAACCAGAGCTGAATTACGCACAAAGGACATGTACAGATATGAAATTGAATGACAGAAATGTAAATGACAAGCGATAAAGCTTGGACAACACTTTATGCATATAAACAAATTTTGGAACATCAGCCTTCAAACCCAACCCTCAGATCCAAGTATTGATCAAACCACAACAACCAAACGATCCAGCAATTCAGTCAGTCAGCTACAACGTAGGATCAGGCACATATATGCATCGGTCCAAGTTGCCATACCCCATTTACACAACAAGATGAACACCGGATTCATAGAACTAGTTATTTCAATGGTAGTAATATATAGAAGAAAGATTGCGTATAAGGATATAGTACAGAAACAAAGAATTAGTTCCTAGAAAGAAATATAAGAAGCGATTTTAATCTCTTAGTTTAAGGAAAGACTGAGCCATGTCACCAAGAGTCTCTAACTATTGGTTACGACAGTCACGCGGACCCCAACCAAGTAGTGTGCATCTACCAACATGGCTCAGACTAGAAGTTAGTGACTTCAAGCAATTAATCAAAATGAGTATACGTGACAGGACATTTTGTGTCGTTTGTCAAACAACTTGAACAGATCAACAGGAACTCGTCAGTATGATGCACTTGTAATTACTTATGAAGTCCAAAAAATATCACAGTTACAAATATCACTGCAAAGCTATCTATGTCATTAAAATCAATTAATGTTCACGAACTGATATACTGATAAACTTTGTAAATCACTTCACGTACATACTTATGTTTCTATCAGTCATAGAATCCACAAATCCAATTATTTCTAAGCTTATATTATTATAATTCATAGCTTAAATTAAAAAATTATGCTCCGAAGCTAGATAGATCAAATCTAATGACCTTTGACCTATTTTTTTATGATATGAACAACTAAACTGATTATTTAGCTTAGAGACTTCAGATAATTTTAATGTGAATTAACATATGAAATTTTACTTATGACTGTTACCCCTCATGGAAGAGAATAGACCGCTTAACAAAATTTTCCATCCAACTCTGTCCTGGGCAATCCTGTCCAGTTGTTTACAGTTGCTATTGAACTTTTTCATGTTTGATCCCGATTCTTTAACAATCAATATATACTTGTTTTATGAAATCATAACATCTGATATTAAAAAAACTCATGAATCTCAAGGAGAACTAAGTAGCTATTTCATTTCAATCTCCCGACCGTTGTTGCTACCTTGACGTGGTGGTCGGGCTTGCCTATCGTGATGAAGCAACCGACCTATACTGGCTGAAACAACCGTTCCTCAAGGTCCTACCATGTCAGACAGGTCGGTTGATGAGCGGTAAGACTAAAAGCAACAAACCCAAGGTCCGAAGGCGAAGTCGTACTGCTGACTGTACACAGGTGTGACAGCAGTAAGGTGTTTCCTTCAGACAACCAGCATGACAGCGATGCTGCCTTCCCACAAGGAGGGGTGGGGTTAGAAAAGGTCGACCCTAAAAATGCACACCTCGCCTTATCCCACGGATATCCGTCTCCGGCGGTAAGGTCTCAACAAGTACGGAGCTAACACAAAAATTACCCATAAAAAGGTCGTGTGTGACGGACCTCGAGAAGTTGTCCCTTGGGCTCTGCGGTCACGCTCTTATGTCACTAAGACCACCTTTAATCCAATTTCCTTTTCAGGTACCTCCAGAACAACCCTTCCACGGTGTGGGCAACCTGGAAGTGATAACCGCCCTCATACTTCTAACAGCACTCAAGACCACTGTATTCATTTCAATCTCAAACATTTTAATCATATATACTCACTATTTCAAATAGAATTGTGGATAACAAGATGAGGGTAAATCAGATAACCGTAAATGATAGATGATTAACATTAAGTTATACTGAAAATCCGATAAATTTGAAAAAAGAGAAAGAAAGAACGATTAAATATTAACTGAATAATGAATTAGTGTTGTATTTTGTAACGAAGATTAATTGCCTCAGGTCAGGAGTATACACTGTTGAAGAAAGTGCCTTTTGGCGATTATTACTTTGAAATAGTTCTCTAAATTATTTTGGTTTGAATAATCCAATAAGAAGACGAAAGTTATCGGAATTATGTGAAAGTTGAATAAAATCACAAAATCAAATAAAAATGTTATATTAAATCAGGATGAGGATTTGTGAAGATTGTAGTTATTTTAATATTTTAATTCATGAGTTGATTTAAACTGGACAACCATTGAAAAGCTGGGATCACTTGAAGACCGATTACTTTATAGTGCCAGACTCCTCAGTAGTGCGCATCCACGATCCTGCATGCGAGACTCGAGTCCAGGACCTTCAGTGTCGTGCGCAAACGCTCAACCTCCAGACCATTGAGTCGGTATTCAAGAGTGTTAATATCTAACCTCAACCAATCCACAATATTGCGCGACCGTCCACCACTGTTTTCAGTGAGTAACTACCTCACAACAAACATGGATGAACTCCACTGGTCACAGCTTCTCACTAGAAACCCACCTTAAAGCCAGTAACTAGTGAGCACATGATTATTATTATCAGAATTGGGGTTCATGGAGGTAGCAGTAATTTTAATAGTTGGATGCTCACTGCTGATGAGTCCCGCACTAGGACGAAACGGCTGTCCAGCGCTTCCAACTTTTCAATGGTATTCTAGCTTAAATCGATTCACGGATTCGACCTATGTTAAATCTTTGGAAATTCGAAAAGTTCCGTAAGTCGCATTGAGTGAATAACTGTTGAGATATTTTAGCTACACTTACACGCTAACACTTAAAATAACTGAGAAAAATTCCAGGTTTTGAGTATCCAACAGCTTTTGTGCTAGAAATGAGCACACTACCTTTCTTAAACTCAAAACTACTATTCTGGGTAACACCTCGTTAAAAGCATGAATAAGAGTGCGTATTGTTCAAAGTTAAATGTATTATTTCAAAAGAATTTCACATAATCCAATAACCTATTAAATATCAAGTGATGTTGAATAACTTTTTCCTCAATCTCTGCTAGAAAGGCCTCAAATCATCTAGTTTTTTTATTTTCGTTAAAAAATTATATCAGGACCTCGGCAACTCCTAATTTATATTAGTACTCTGACCTTTTCTACAAATGATCTGATTGATAGTCTTTTCTTATGGCTTGTTATTTTGCTATATGTTCCCAAGGTTATCGTCCTTACCCTGTAAACAAAACTATTGTATTCGAACTTGAATTTTGCTGGGAATATTAAAACTCTCCTAAAACTCAGTCTTCTCTTTTTCCTTTATTCGTGTGTGGACCGAAGTGTCATTGAGTAATATTGATACGATTTGCCTAGTTCGTTTAGACCCCTTCTCTTATAATCCCTTTTAATTTACAGTTTATATATTTATTATAGCTTATAACGGATAAGAGTGAAAAATCGCTGATCGCTTTGTGATATGAATCTTTACTTTTAAACATTTATTTTGATGATTGATGAGTAACTCATAATCATACTATTTTCATTGAATATAATGTACGGAAACGATTGTTAAAATTCTCTAGTATGTATGTATATATTCACGTAACCAATCAGTTGGTCAGGTAATCTTGTCTCCCAGATTATATTCTGTGAGAATTTTTGATAAAATGGAAAAAAAAGTACTTAATATGATACCTCTATTCAATCTAGAATTCGAGGAACTCCAGCTTATCTGTGGCGCTGGGTTTTTTTCAGTGACTCCCTTTCAAGTTCAAATTGTCCAAAAAGACGATCATAGCTAATAACTTCCTTGAAAGAACGTACAAGAATGTACAAATGAGTTACTGAACAATACGTTTTTTCAATGATTACAGACATTTGGTAGAACCCAATTATCATAATAGGAAAAATATTTCTATCAGTCACGGCAACAGGTAAAAGGATGAGATCATCCATTTTGCTACAAATATGACTAATCAATAGCTATCAACAGCAAATATTCTAATAAAAAAGAACAAACAAGAAATGTGTTTAAATTTCAGTAATATAGAACAAAATCAATCAGTTCACACAGTCGAAATATAAGCAAAGTGACTCAATATCTCAACCGCTTCTAAGTAAAGTTATGTTAACCAAAAATGTTCACAACACAGATGAGTTTTAGTCAGTTTCAGAACCTGTCAACACTTTAATACCATGTTGGCTTCATTTCGATAACGCAATGAGAAGACGTAGTGTATCAGAATTATGTGATATATTTGTGCAATACATTTCGAACAATCTGATCACACATTACATACTTGTTTAGAACATTTTTATATGAAACTTAAAAGGTCAACTAGACAGGTTAAAGGTAAGAAATAATAATAATAATATAGTACACAAAAACAATATGATTAACAGTTTGTATAATAAATCAGTATTACCAGGGTAGGTTAAGTGTTAGGACATACATAAAGGTGGTTTCAATTTCCGTATAGTCAAGGCTTCAATAAACCTTAGTATACGTCCGTGAAGGCTTTTGAATAACATTACAAATGCTGATTTGATGTCAACCTTATGGCTAGTTTCAATCAAATGTTAGCTTCAAACAAATCATAAAGTATGAATGTAATATATGTAAGTACAGAAGGGTTATAGACAAAGTATTACTTACAAAGAGAAATAAATAAATTTCGTTACATAGAATCCATATATATATATATATATATATATATATATATATATATATATATATATGGGGATTGTTTTACAGCCTCTGAAAATATCCTCCTGAGTTACAAATCTTCTTAATTACTTTCGAGTCAGCCCCCCCCAATACAATGTTACACTTTGGCTTTACACAAGATTGTTTTTACCAACTTTAACATTATTTTAATAGCTAGAATATATATACATGAGAATATTAAAAAGAACAGAATACATTATACAACTGTTTCTAAGACATATCATTATTATTAAATGTAGGTTTTTAGAAAATAATCAAACTTATTCATTCCTTATTTTTATTAACTTGTAGATTGATTCTTATTGATAAACGTTTTTGTGCTTCAGTATATTGTTCATTATATTTCATAGGCATATGAGATTCAATGTCTATTAGATCATCAATTAATTTTGATATAGAATTTGATGTAATCACTGGACATGTCAGTCTTGATGACGATGATGCTGATGACGACGACGACGACGATGATGATGATGATACGTTGGATGATTTCATTGACATTGTAAAAGAAGTTGAAGTAAAAGAACGAATGAAATTTTCATTTACTGAGATTTGATTGCGTAAATTCACCATGAAATAACATAAATACTCAAAGAAATAATCCACTAAAACATGTAATTCCGATATAAATATTTCCAAATCAATAGTTGAATTCATCAAGTTATTATTATCATTATATTCAACAACCATTCGATTGTTTATAATATTTGATATGGATAATTTTCTTGATTCACATATTTCAACCATTATGTTGGATATCTATTGTTAAATTAGAATAAATAATGAATAAAAAAAGATATTCATTCGCTGAGATTTTACAAATACATTCTTCCTCTTTAGTGTCTCACATCAACTCGATGCCCAAATACCGTGAAACAATTCGATCCAATTTAGGCGAAAGTTCTTATATATTAACCAAACTTGATAGTGTTTTTCTTAGTGAGAAATTCATATCAATTAATTAGAACAATTGTTTCGTTTGATTTCGAACCTTTGGAGTAAACGAATGATTCTCATGATAACAGTATCATCTTATCAGATGATAAAAGCTAAGAGTTCCAGTGTGAAAACCAGCATTGAAATACATGTAAACTCAACTGACGAATCATAAATAAGACGAAAAGCCCATTACATATAGAGTACAGGTATCAAAATTCAATTCTGAATATCAACAACACTGTGATTGAAACTCTTACTATTAATGATATAAACACTAGTTGATACACATGTAAACTCAGTAACTCAGAGAATAACGCTGTGATAAATTTACATTAACCTAAGAGGTCCTAAATAGAACAGAATACACGTTTTGCATGGCACTACCTGGCTGGCGTTATCCATCGACTCTAAATATTATTTTCTCTTTGTCATTATTAATAAATCTATCAGTTCTGCAATTTTATGTTTTCATAGAGTTAATTGACCATAATAATTCTCAGTTTACTAAAACCACTCCAAACAGGACGAAACTCGCATCCAGTATTCCACTACAAGCCACTATTCACTCCTACTTACAATGCTTATAACTTAGTGGAGATATCGAAGCAGTCCGCACAGGATGCACCATATTACCAAGAATTGACTGAACAATTACAATCTTAAACATCGATGGGTAGATTTAAACAACCAATATAAATAAATTGAAACAATAAATGGTTAAATCAATGGTCATAAATACTTTTATCATTATCATGCATAATTCGCGTGATGAATATACAAATAAAATGTTCGGTCACATTGTACAATAATTTATAAATCTCAGTAAGTTCACAACTAGGAATTCTTTTAAATTCATAACGGAATAATGAACTGATAGGTCGTTGACTATTATTTCCATTCAGTAAAATAATATGAAAGTAATGTATAACTCAAAAGAGAGATCACATTTTGGCTCAAAAATAAGACAGTGTACCATAGAACAGTCATAAGATGAATAATCATTTAGGAGATACGATCGTCTTTTTATCATTGGGGAGCAATTACTCATTTCATATTATTTTCATCAATTAGTGCCAACACAGGTAATCAGCCTAGTGTCTGGTGTGATCACTGACATTATTACGTAAGAATAGTAAATCGACTTCAAAAAGAATAAAATCATTTTCCTGACTGAATACTAATTATTGGTTCAACTATTTGGTAATTTAACTAGAAATTATCTTCCAAATAGTTCTAAAACATTTTTTTAGAATATTAGGTAAAATATATGGATTTCTTAAAGAATTGTTGTAGATAATCGTCCGCAACTTGGAAGTAAATATTGATTATGATAGCTAACAAATATATTTTATGCTTGAACATTAAATGATCGCCTTCATTCATTTCGTGGATGATTTGCAAATGACTTTTGCTCTAATTTATCCCTTCTTTTCAGTTTTATTTCCTATGTTCCAGTAGTCTTACTAAAATCTCACTAGTAATCCTCTAAAGTCAGTTACTGCTGTTCAATCTGGTGTTCCTGATGACTCACAAACAATATCCTCCTTAAATTCACATGAAATCGCAGTAATACTGCATTACCACAAAGCAGAATATGCTCTAATGAACCAGAAGAGATCTCCTATTATACTCCAATTCAGGTGTCCGTGTACCAATCCTTCAGGAAGCTTAAGGTGACTAGACCCATAAAATAGAACTAGTATTGAACACATTAGAACTTTTTGGAATATCTTACGGATTGTTACTATCCATATTTCCATTGTACAACTAAACTATTATGTTTCTCTATTTCTGTTATCGTAAGCTCTCGTTAAACATAATGACTGTTGCTACACTTTTTTTATTCCTAAATCATGGTTAGTCAATTTTTCACGACTTGCTCTGTTCATTGCCACGTTTTAGCTTGTTTATGTATAAACGGCGACTCTTATTTTGTGGAGTGATGCGTACCTAGACATCTGTAAATAAACGCGTGTGTGGTTGAATTATGTTATTACAAGCTTTACCTACTGTATTTTAATATCTGGACTTAAAACTGGCATCAGAAGAGTCAAAATTATCTCACCAGTCTTCAAGGTTTTTCGTACTAGACTTGGCGTCTCAGTGGCCAAGTTAAGTAATCAATCGATAGATGGACTAACGTACTAGGGATCGAGAAGAATAAATTGAGATTTCGACTGTTGCGTTTCCACTCTGGCTATTAATTAAAGGGATACGGACTAGCGAGCACTATAATGCAAAGTAATTTTCAGAACTTCACAGTCACTATCTCAGAACATTCAAGCCTCACAGCGAGCCTGTTACCTTTAGACTATTGAGTTGATGTACAGTCGTATACTTCTATAACTCCAACCAATTATCTATATGGAATACAATCACCCAACAACGTCATTAGGTAACTGTTTTAAATCAATCATGAGTGAAATTCCCCAGTCACGATCTTTTGATAAAACTTTAAAAATCCTGAAACTAGTCACTAGTGAGCGTACGATTTCTGTTCGATAGATATAATTTATGAGAATGAATTGAAGTGGAATTTAGATTTCCTCACAAATTAATATCAGCTGAAGAAGTATTTTGAAAAAAATCCAGTACTGAACAAAAGTTTCATCCTGGTATGGAACTCCTCAGTGGTTATCAATCTAATGTGTGGGCGAGAATGATAATGATTGGTTGTTTGCTTAGTTAGACTTACAGATAGTCTGATAGGTACTAGATGTGTTATACATTCTTTTACCTTTATTATTATTGTAATTGTTATCGGTTTTTTGGTGCGGATATATACTTACGTTCTATTTAGGCTAATCATGTGTCCTTGATTTGTGTTGTGTTGAAGTCCTGTAGAATAAACACTTGAAAGGTATCTAGTGTAGATACTCATCTAAGGCAAATTAACTTCCCATTCGTGTAAACAATGAAAACCGAGCGTTATAATACAACCTTCACAAACCTCCTAATAAAATCCCATTATAGTTTTTGTGTTTTGTATGTATAATGCTTGGTGTATGAAATGAGAATATCACACATTTGATTGTGTATATGGTCATGAATACTTTTCCTGTCTGTAAAATTCATCATTTTACTGAATAATCAGTCAGAAACTCCGGATTTTTATTGATTCTTCAGTAGATGTCAGTTTATAATATATATTCCAATTAACTAAATACTTCATAAACTGTTTTTTATGAATTTGTAGTGTCGGTTATTATGTTAAGCTCATATACCTTATTCTAGGTTTCGGACAGACCATTTCATTCATTCTATTTGAGTCACATTCTGACCTTGTTATTTATTCGCTTATCAATCTTGACTGTTTTTATATGATCGCGTAGGTGTGTGTACATTACTTATCCCATTACTCATCACATGTCTTCAACTTACTTTTGTGTAACTATAAATATTGATTAACGCTTGGTCAAATGGGAGTTGACTTACCAGCCATCTCCACTCTGCGTCGTTTCTCTTCTCTCTATTCCATTCGCTTCATATACAAAATATATGTATTCACAGGTTCATTCTTGTCATTTGACTTATTTAATTCCGTTATTGACTAACGTGATTTAAGTCGATGATGATATACAAGGATAGGCGACATATATATTTCAACAACAATCATCATTACAATCTCCTTGGAGTCGGATCACGGACTACTAAAGTGGAGAGCTCTTTCAACAACATCGTTCGATCTAAACAACGACAGAATTACGGGCCTCCACAAAAAATTCAATAGATATCAATTAATTTATAGGAATAATTAGTAAACATTAAAAAGCCCAAATCAATAAATATGACTTTGATTACCTTGAATATGTAGTATACAACTGGTATTCCATTACTATTTTGATTTCTATATTTTAATATACTTCCAATGATAAAATTCATTTTATTACTTTCATCTTTAATTATTGTATGTAACCATTTTAATTGATTAATTAAATGTTCATAGAAATGATAAGTTTCATTAATCGCTTGAATTAAACGATTCAAACGATAATAATGAGTAAGTTCTGCTAAAGTAGGTTTTTTAAGAGTTAATTCAATCTAAAATTCAATAAACAATGTTTTAAAGTACATTGATCAATTAGTAATGGAAGATTATATATGTATACATTGACTGATCTCCGAGTACTGACCAGTGTCATTTTGTCGATTAGTTAGGGCTAATAAAATTCTATTCATAATGTTGCATTCTAATCACTTGTGGTGGTCGGTATTCCATATAATCCTTAAACTTCGTATACAGTTCGTCTTGATAACTGTCACTAGATAACGCTCCAACGGTATATTAACCAGAAGGCGAATACGAAGTGTTGATTATGTTTATTACGGGACCACACACAGATATCCAAAATTACAGGTGCGTCAAACAAGCATGAAAGAGTTGTGCCGAAAGGCAAGCAGGCAAGAGAGCGAGCGAGTGAGTCAGCGAATATGAGTACGAGTAAGTGAGTACAATTAAGCGAGAGAGAGAGAGAGAGAGCAATGAACATGAATAACATGGACATATATATACATAGTGAAGTGAATGAACCATCGAATCAATTAAGCGGTTAGTAGTAAGGCTAGCAGCGTTAATAAATGCATAGTCAGTAAGCATTGTTCAAGCATACATGTTCATACATTCACAACAATAATAAAGATACAATGATATAGATAAGTTGTTGTTGTATGGATGACTCAGTTCGTTAATAAGTTAACAAAATGACTTAACCGAATTAAATGTGAACCAACTCAATTGCGCGTGAGTTGCTATACACTGATCTAGATGATGAGACGCCGCATTCACTAAGTAATAGTTTTTGTATGTGAACGCTAATTCACTAACTTCTTAACCGATTGTTATTCCTAATAAATCTCTTATTCTTGAACAGTAAAAAGAAAACAAAAGACTGAAAGTACGGAAGAAGCATTACTTAGTTTGTGCATACAAAAAAGGAAAGGTATTTACAAGATTATATGTGACCATTTGATTCGAGAAGCTCCTGAAAAATGTGCTAAAATTTGTAGTTTTCTAGAATAAATAATAAAAACCTAATTCTTCCCCTGCAAGTTTCCAGAAAACTCTGATTGGATAAGATATTTCCGGATTTTTTTTGGATTTTTGACAGCTTTACGAGGAACTGTCCTGGTCTTCGAACATTAAGTTCCGATGTTACATGATCGATAGTAATCAGCAGAAAACCCTGGAATTAAGTTACATGTACTATGCACTCACCAACGATATAAGAGGTATGGAATCATCCTAGTTTCTAGCTGAGAGTAATTTAGTACAGAATTGTATTGCATCTTGGAGCTATTCACCACTATCTCCACAAAACCCTGCACTGACAATAGTCATCTGCTCATTAGTGATTTGCTTAAAGATCTGATTCATAGAGTTCTAGCGAGAAGTTATGACTAATGAAGCCTAACTGTATCGAGTATCAGACAGTTACCTACTTCAGGGAATACAGATGGCCGTCCACTACAGCGAATTGAATGAGATTAAACGTGCACACCATTGAATGCAAGCTCAGTGATCTAGAAGTGAGACACTTTTATGTGAGACAGAAAGTTTTGAATTTGACTCATTGTAGTGGGGTAGTAGATCCACATTGCTAAAGGACCCCATACTAGGATGAGACAGATGTATAGGGCTTTATAGTTCTTAGTGGCGGTCTAATTAAGATGAGTTTGTGATTTATACTATCAAAATCGTATCATCTCACCAATGCCTCCATGAAATATTTCTGTGTGGATCTCAGAAAGTTGTCATCCTGATTGTTATTAAAGATAGAGAAAAAATAATGAAACGGGAATAGTTACTCTCTAATGATGAATCAACTGATATAATTTTACTAAGTATTTCTCATCTAATCATTTTATGACATTTTAAAATTGGAATTAACCTCAACTATGTGTTATGAACACATCCAATGTAGTCCATTTCGAAATGAAATTATTAAAATTACAGTTTAATATTGTAAAACTTATTCACTGAGAGAACTGGAAGTAACCAAAAGTGATGAATACAGCACACGAGTTGAGCATAAGGACATTGAGGATAATCTTAATCATCAGCTTATTACAATTAGATTACTAAATTTAAACGGAATAGTTTCTATTTGTAAACTTATCGGCATTTGTGAAATGTTGCATGTTATAGTCTAGTGCTTTACCTGTTTGTTCATCACGTGAACTGATCACAATGAAAATAAAAGTACTCGTGACCAATGTTTTACCATTTATTGATCTGTTTAAAGGGAAATTTCTTTTTTAAATATTGAAAATCAGCATAAACTATCAATTATTGCTTACAAATAGCTTATGAATTAAGGTAATATCGAAGCATACTCACAGTATGCACATATGCCAATAACAGACTGATCAATTGCAGTCTTAATCCTCAATGGGAAGATACAAGCCAAACAATACCAAGTGAATTCAAATTCACCCCAAGTGGCTATCAGGACTCAGTAGCTGAGTGGATAACGCGATAGCGTTTGAAGCGAATGGTACTGGGTTCGAGTCCCAGAGTGAACATCAACTCCCTGAGATGCAGTAGACGAGTCCCAAATAGGACGAAACGCGCGTCCTGAATTCCACTTCTAGCCACTATCCATCATTGCTTACAAATAGCTTGTGAATTAAGGTAATATCGAGGCATACGCACAGTATGCACATATGCCAATGACAGACTGATCAATTTCAGTCTTAAACATTAATGGGAAGATACAAGAAAAACAATACCAAGTAAAATAACATTGTTGTTCGATTTACTGCAAGCGATATAAACTACATAAATTATATGATGACTCTTATTACAATTTTTGTTGTTGTAAACTTATAAAGATAACTAATGATAATTCAAAGCTTACGTGATTGAATAAAATTACATAACAGTTTCTAAACAGGTTATTTATAAGTCAATTATGTACAGTATATTTCTTTAATTATTGAGCAGTGAATAGTAAACAATATTAAATTTATTTGATCATTTTTAATAATGATCAAATTCTATGAATCAAATTGTGATCTGGTTACTAGTCTATACAACTCAACATCATATTCATCATATTTTGACATTATATAGTCAATCGATAGTGATCAGTAGAAAACATTGGAGATAGGTTTCATGTTAGTTAAACATCATTATCAAAGTGTATTCCAATGTTTATACTTGGATTACTGGGAAAAAAAACAATCGTAATAAAAAGTAGGTGTTTTGATCATTGTCTACCAAATTCATCTTAAAATAAATTCTAATAACCAGCTTTATATAAGTAGGTATCAGAAGGGGTTTGTGGAGATTTTAGAAATTTCACAGATTGAAATCATGAGTCAATTGAAGCTAGACCACCATGGAAAACCTGGTGTGGAGATATGACTGACAAGCTTATTTTGTAAATAGTTTTTAATATTATTTGTATTTGTTTGTCAATTTTTCACCGTATGTACATTTATCATTAAATGACTGTACATGTTGTTTTAGTAAATGACCTTGAACACACTTTCCGTTGAGCTACTACATAGCGTGACATATTAGTGCTGGTTAGCAAAATACATTACTACTCACGCATTCCTCGTTCTATCTTCATTTGTGATTGAGTTAATGGAAGTCTAAATCAAATACTATCTACATTTATAGACTATAATCGGAATATATCACATCCAACGTTGGACTATATCGCTAGAGAGTTCACCAACCTGCTCAGAGTCATCAAACATTTATAATTGTGGATTTACATTACTGGACCTGATCACAACACGCAAAGTTTGGGCAATTTAAGTAACGTCCCCAATTTTTATTGTATATGTAACAATTAACTGTATATATTAATATTACTATTTATCTTTAGTAACTTTATTTATACTTTTTGCGTTCATATTTGTCTGGTCCACCACAATTATTTGGTGAGCCCTGATTTTTTTTATAGACATTTACTATATATATATCTACATAATTTTTTATTATTATTAATTGGCACGACACCATTTTGGTCTTTGACATTATGAACTCTCCTAATAAACTTATCGATATTGATAGCCCGTCAACCAACCTCTTCCTTTCATCACAGCCAGATGATAATGTTTTAAACTCGATCAACGCTATCTCAGAGTTAAGGTTACCAACGTACGGTGTTAATAATCCCAGGATCTGGTTTGCACAGGTTGAGGCATTATTTTTGTCGAGAGGTATACGCTCGCAAGCGACAAAATATGCATACATCGTTGGAGCATTACCCATAGAAGTGGCAGCAGAAGTCGGAGACCTGATAGATAACGTACCAGAAACGGACCCCTACGACAAAATAAAAGCCGCAGTAATCCACCGTACTTCGCAGTCTGACGAAAAACGCTTACAGCAACTACTCACCGCATGCGAGTTAGGGGACAAAAGACCTTCACAGTTGCTTAGACATATGAGACAACTAGCAGGCTCATACAAGTTAGACGAAGCATTACTTAAGCAGATGTGGTCACAAAGGTTACCACATAGCGTCAGACAAATCCTCAGCATATCAGGAGCCTCTGTCAGTCTTGATGATCTAGCAGACATGGCCGATAAGATGATAGAAATATATCCCGATAGTTGCGGCGTTAACGCGATACCATCCTCAAGTAGAGAAAACATGAGCGACGCACTCAACATCCAACAACAAATAACACAGTTAACACAGCAGCTAGCATCACTGCAAGCCACTATTTCCACCATCCGTTCTCGATCTCCCAGATCTACGTCCAGAAGGAGATCAGTATCCAGACATCGCCTTAGGTCACCTAAGCGGGCAGCCGGAATTTGTTGGTATCATTCGAATTATGGTGAGAAAGCACGTCGTTGCACAAAACCGTGCAACTTCACGACAAACAAGCCAGACCATCAGGGAAACGAAGTGGCCAGACAGTAATGGCGGCAGCTGTTACTGGCCAACATGTTAGCCGCCTCTTCCACATCAGGGATCGTATTTCTGGCTCAGACTTCTTAGTCGATACTGGAGCAGAAATCAGCATCATCCCACTTCATCTCTCACGCAGACAACATACGACAAGCACTAAATTGT